TAATATAATAATAATATAATAATAATATAAACTAAAAGTACTCTTTTAGCACATATATTTTCTATATTGTTATTTTATCATGAATATTTATTTTATTATGAATACTTAATATGAATAAATAATGTACGACCTCAACTATATATTTAATTATATAATTTAATAGAAATTTAATAGAAAACTATAAAAAATAAATGTTAGATTATTACTTGTAACGTAGTAAGTTGAGAAAAAATGCGTAGAAACTTGCACCTTATCTTCATACATATATCTTGTACTACAAAAATAATATTAAAATATTTTTATGCGGTTAAAAAGTTTCTTTTGCACCACGAAAACCATTAATGATCGATGCTTTTCGATACAATGAAATTTAATCACTATCACCTAGATAAAAAGTATGGGCAACGAAGTAATGTATTGGTAATAGTATTAATTTAAACATTCTAGATTATGTTAATTAAACAATCGATGGTCTCTCTGGTTTCTTCTTATTTTTGTGGAAAAACGCGACTCATTTATGACAGCTCATTTATGATAGCTCATTTATATGGAAAAATGTCCCAATTCTGATAAGAAATTAAATTTACATTTTATTATGGCTGCAATGTTCGAATTTTAAATATTATATAGCATAGTCTTAAACACAGACTTCAATAATTAGACTGTTCACTTTGTTAGATTATTTTGTATGTGATAGAAAAGAAATAAAAGTAGTGCCGAGAAGAAAGAATCTTCTTGTCTATAGAAATCTGTATTATAGTTTTAATAATTAAAAATATAACATATGGAAAGAAAGTGAAGTTATAAAAATTGTATATTCATTATCATAATTAAATTATTTCAATTATAATAAGAACTTGTAAAAAAAATTTCTAATGAAAAGTTGCTAATTTTAAGATGTCACTTTTCTCAACGCACGATACACTCATACATAAAAAGATTCGTATTAAAAAATCATATCAGCAAAGAAAATCAAAATATATATCTCGATCAAGCTGTTCCATCGTTCCTACTACTCGAGAGATTCTTAATATACGTACAAGAAAGATCATCATTTACTATATCGATATTCGACCGATGGAAAAATGATACGCTTGAACAGACTTTATATCTTAAAACGAAAGTCGAACGATATGTAGGAGAATAATATACCGCAATCGTTCCACCAGTTGGATTCGCAAAATATTCCGTTTATTTCACAGAGCATGGAATTTATTTCAGTCCTGTACTTGGTATTTCGGTCAGATATTTCATAACCCTCCTATTGCAGCTACGGTGACTGAAAAATATTTCGATATCTGCATACCTATATTGATTTCATCTCGCGATGCTTTCTATCTCTTTTCAGTCCTCGTCTTTTCTATCATTGCATCTTTCACCACGTTCTTATCATTATGTTTCTTTCCCATAATGCAATCTAACGCGCATTTGTTAAATCGAGATTTTATACTGGAATATACATATACATGATAAATACAACTATGGTAAAGTATATGAAACTTTAAGAGGTACATTTTAAGAGGTACATTTTGCATCCAATGATCCAATTTGAAATGTATCTCTCTCTCTCTTTGTATATATCAGAGAGTTAATTATATATCCACAGTCGTATAAGTAAATCTAATTATACTGAATATTATACTTTTCATAAAATTTAGAACAATGTAAGAATGAAATTTTCTATATCGATAAAAACTTAACCATCTGCTGAAGTAAAGAATAGTATATTTTTGAAAGATGTTCTGGTAACGATGTTGCAGCACTCGTCATTGTAAATTTATACTTTGCACACACATCACTTGTGTGTGTGTGTGTGTGTGTGTGTGTGTGTGTGTGTGTGTGTGTGTGTGTGTGTGTGTGTAATCGCTCTTATTCGAATATATAAATTTTGAAACCTCAAGTGTTCCAAGTTCTCTTTTCAACGCGCGCCAGTCTCATTAATCTCGGCCGAACTATTCGCCTAGCTATACGTACTTGCTAAAACCGTCATGCTATAGAGATATCATCGGACGTTGTAGATGAAAGCCCGAATTTGATCTTCAAAGTGTCTATTAGTCTTACGTCCGTTATTAATCAAATATAGCTGACAACTGCGATATTGCCCGCTATCAATCAATCATTGATAGTCGGCTGAGTCAGTCACGAATTATCCGGTGCAAGTCCATTATGCATAGATGATAGATGATAATGAGCTTACTGTGTTATTAGAACAAGTTATTAAACTCGTTATTGAAATTAAATATCTTTACGTTGCAACTAAAGAAAGACGACGTTATCACTGCCAGAGTGTATAATTTAACACATTTCTGTACTTCGATATGTTCGATATACATATCCACATGCAATCGTGCAACTCGTATATCAAAGACCGGCGTAGCTATATTGTCAATAATAAAAGAAAAATACAGATATGCGCGAATAGAAAAAGAAAAAAAGGAAGGGTAGAATGAAAAGAGAGGATACAAGTAAAGGACGGGAGTCCAATTAAGTGGCGTGGGACGTGGGTGCCACGAGAACATCGTTACAGCATCGAGATCGCCATTATGCCACGAAGAGGACGACCCTAACGACGTGGCTACCGTGATTTATGGTCCAGCGAAAACGCGCCATGGGACACATGGATTATGTATCCAAAGAATGACTTTCTAGTTGTAGTACTTTATAAAAGTAGATTAAGACAATAATGCATCATGGTCTTTCATCTTTACCATTAGCATAATTAGTCTTCACTGTATGCAAATAAAGTTACAAATGTATAATAATTCGCGAGTTACAAACATCTCGAAACAAACGCTTCGTAGCAATTACGCCGAAAATAGAAAATTTGTATGACGGTACAAGGTTGCTTCATAGGTTCCACATGCTTTAATTATGGAATTCTTTAAGTGATCTGAAATTTCCCTTTTGACGAAAACTGTTTAAACTTGAATTTAAATAACCTTCTAGTTGCCAACAAATCAACATCATACATTTGTTTCTTATTATGCTACTTATAATATAATATCAGCGTGATTTTCGACAATGGCAATGATTTTGAGATATTCTGTACAAACACGATGATTTATAGGTCGCAATGCGGTCATCAGATCAAAGTACATATCATTAGTAGCAGTAGGAAATAGCAGCTCTTGATTGCTTCGAGGTTGCCAAGTCCCGGACGGTTAGATGAACACACACGCAATGACGCGTTCACTTACCTGACACCGCTAGATGGACAGTTCTGATTAATGGTGGGTGGGCGCTGACTTGACACTCGTAAAGGCCGGCATCGCGTTCCGTAGCAGAACGTAAAAGCAATCGCCAATCATTGGGTTTCTCAAAGGCTAGGGAGAATCTGGAGTCACTCGCGTACGTATCGAGACCAATAGTGAGTAAATGAAGCTCCTCTCCCCGTCTACGCACCCAAGACACCTATAATGAAAAAAAAGTGCTTGATGCAGTCCACAGAACTTTTTAATCCTGGATTACAGCGACGAGTCAGACCTGTCTGTCTGTCTTCAAATAGGAAAAATTTTAGACGGCTATACAATTAATACTATAAGGTTCTAAATTATAAATAAAAATCTTTGAATCTTTCACTATCATCGCCGTAAAACAGAAATTACATACTTCAAACAGGATGTTTTAGTACTTATGAGTAATTTTTATAGCCAACTACAGCTATAAAACAGCTCTCAATTACGATGGTTAATTAAAGAGGTTAATAATAAGAAACACGTAATTTTCTCTTCTTCTTTATTAACAATTAACTAAATTGTAAAATGGGAAATAGAATTTCTATTGACATCTTTCTCTGGTCTGCTGCTAGTGATCTCCGAAAACTATTAGCTCCAGAACTCGGAAAGTCACTATTCACTTCTGAACTTTACACGCGATATACAAGGGTGCAGACAAGGCATATTTATACGCGGTAGACTTTCGTGAGTGGACGTATAAGAATAGTCTTGTGCCTTTCACGAAAAAGAGAGAGAGAGAGAGAGAGCCAAGAACACTTTGCATAAATCATGCACATCGAAGCTAATGGAACAGTGTGCCATAAAAATACCGTATTGCCCGTAAATCACAGTAAGTTATACCGTTAACTGCTATTATCTGACGCAAATATATGTCCGCATTTTAAAACCGATTGTATCGCCCCATTCATTAAATTAGATAGAGGGTTTATGCACAAAAAAGTTCTGACAACTTCGATAAACTTAGTCAAGAAGATAAACTCACAAGATGTTTTTGGCACTAATTTCTTTTTCCATGCTAAGAGAGAAAAAAAAATTAATAAAATAGGGTAAAAAGTCGGGCTACAACTATCCATCAAGAAACATTATACGAAAAATGTTATATTGATAAATATTTCAATAAAATGAAAAATGCTTAAGTGAAGTATATTAAGACATAAATAAAATATTTAACAGATAATTTTACAATATTTAATCTGTTTGTCTCATAAAAGTTGATTTTAAACAATTGCGCCAATTGCATATACAAGTTTATGTACTTAAAGTATAAAATTAAATTCTTTTACATTACCATGCTTCGATATCCAATAAAGCACCTGTATTGTATTATATGTTTTACGCTTATGAATATGTATATATTTTAATATAAATGAATCGATATTATGTATTTTTTCATATGGAGGAATTTTTAAAGTGATAAAAGATTCATACTACATAACATATGCAGATATCAAAGAAATATTAATTTTAATTAAAAATGACGAAAACTTATTTATTAATAGATAAAATTTGACTTTATTATAACGAACAGGTAAAATATTTTAATTGCTAAAAAAGATATTATTAGATATCTAATAATCAAATATTCGCGTTTTTTTACTTGTTCTAAAAAGATAAATTTAAAAAAATATTTTTCTAATGATATAACAAAACAATGTAATAAGAAATTTGATTAATATAGAGAATTCTTTGTAAAAGTTTCACGAATCGACATGTTCTAATGATTAGTACAACTGTAATTAATCGATATTTGTATTTCATTTTCACAATTTATAAAAATTACATAATTTTTTCTTCAAAAAATCTAGCTTTAAATAATGATAAATTAATTTACATATATTTTTTATCAAATAAATATATAAGAATATATACATATAT